GGGGGGAAAATCGAGTTAAAATGTGAAAATTAATATTACATTACAAGCTATATTTTTCTGTACTTTATTTATATATGCTCAGTTTGGGCCTCTAAATATAAAATGTTTTTGAGATCCATATTCTCCTATATCACCCACTAAAGCTTAATGTATCAAACATGATACCAATCTTTTTCAAAGAATTTATTTTACATTTACTCTAAAGGTTCAATAAACGGTTTCATTTGAAATGATTACATTTGTCTGATTATTATTCATGTGTCAGGCTTGTTATCAATCGTTGCGCGTGCAGATGCTTTAAATGGCTAAACTGCAAGCGTCAATTGTGAATATGTTTTCCAACACTTCTGACCCATAAAAACATAAAACATATAAAGCATTACAGAGATTTCCTGACAGTACCGGCCTGCTGACAGTACTCTTACCTGTACAGTCGTTTAATATGAAGCACTTTGGCCTCTGGCTCGCTGTCTTGACCCGGTCCGCTCATCCTAGCAGTGATAATGCGGCTGCTGTGGTCTGTTTTCGTGTATCTTGTTCTGGTTCTAGTTCGTTCAGTTCCAGTTTAGCGCGCGGCTAACGTTAGCAGGCTAGCTAACTCACCTATTTCCTTCAAATTACAACTTGAACACAAACGCTGTTGTTCCTGACCTCCCCCGCCACCGGCCGCGATACCCATCCGTTCGGAAGCCGGTGTGTGTGCTGGTGTCGGTTCAGGTCAGCTGTCACATTTTGAAGGGGTTGTGTTTGTGTTGTCGCTCATCATTCCGAGTGTCGCTCCGCGAGCGGCCATTTTCTCCCCCCTCCCACCGCACACAGTTCAGCGACCGCTGCAAGTATCGCGACAGTTGACAGATTCCTACACCGCCGCTACAAATCTCACGAGAGTTTCCTGAGGTCAAGTTCTTGGTCCAATGCAAGCGCTCGGCTGCAGGCGAGCCGATCAGCCGCTGGTGCGACGGTCCTTTACAAAACTCAGAAATGTTATATGCTGTTAAGTTATAAGAAATATGTATAGATTTTCTTCAAATTGTAAGAATTTTTGTCATTTTAATGTAGTTAAAACCAACTTACCAGTTTCATACAGCTATTAATGGTATATTGCAAGACATTTGTAATGTGTTTTGTTTTTTAAGGCATCTTTTCTCACCACTGACTAATGTAAATCAGTTGATTAACCAGTATATAATTCAACCAAAGTAGCCTACATAAATCACTATATATTATATAGTATTCTAAGTAATGGATTTGTCTGAAGGCACACTTGGTTTTATGAATGGAAAGTGGTCAGATATGCAATTTCCCTCAAGAAAATGATCAAAACATCCTATTTAAGGCAAATATAGCTGTATGAATATGTGTGAATTGAAGTGTAAATGAGTAAATATAAGGCCAATCTCACAATGAATGACCTCAAGAATATGACTGACCAGAGTCATAGTTTCTTAATGCAAAAAAAAAATATATATATCACATGCTTTTTACTGTATAAGAAATATAATTCTATATTATTTAAATAAATCAAGATTTAAATTCTATTAAACTGCCTTACATTTATGCTAAATTTTATTTAAAAATATATTGTACGCAGGCATTAAAGGGATACTCCACCCCAAAATGAAAATTTGGTCATTAATCACTTACCCCCATGTCGTTCCAAACCCCTAAAAGCCTTGTTCGTCTTCAGAACACAATTTAAGATATTTTGGATGAAAACCGGGAGGCTTGTGACTGTCCGATTGACTGCCAAGTAAATCACACTGTCAAGGTCCAGAAAATTATGAAAGACATCGTCAGAATAGTCCATCTGCCATCAGTGGTTCAACAGTAACGTTATGAAGCGACGAGAATACTTTTTGTACGCGAAGAAAACAAAAATAACGCAAGCAGCGTACACTCTTGTGTGTCAGCCGCGACACAAGGATATGTTTTCTACGTGTATTTACGCTTTGATTTGAATATCATATCCTTGTGTCGCGGCTGACACAGAAGAGCGTACGCTGCTTGCGTCTAGCGGATATTCTCCAAAATGGCGCTACGGTGATGTGGAGAGACACATAGGAGATTAATTGTTGAATAAAGTCATTATTTTTGTTTTCCTCGCGTACAAAAAGTATTCTCGTCGCTTCATAACGTTACTGTTGAACCGACATCGTCAGAATAGTCCATCTGCCATCAGTGGTTCAACAGTAACGTTATGAAGCGACGAGAATACTTTTTGTACGCGAAGAAAACAAAAATAACGCAAGGAGCGTACGCTCTTGTGTGTCAGCCGCGACACAAGGATATGTTTTCTACGTGTATTTACGCTTTGATTTGAATATCATATCCTTGTGTCGCGGCTGACACAGAAGAGCGTACGCTGCTTGCGTCTAGCGGATATTCTCCAAAATGGCGCTACGGTGATGTGGAGAGACACATAGGAGATGAATTGTTGAATAAAGTCATTATTTTTGTTTTCCTCGCGTACAAAAAGTATTCTCGTCGCTTCATAACGTTACTGTTGCACCACTGATGGCAGATGGACTATTCTGATGATGTCTTTCATACTTTTCTGGACCTTGACAGTGTAATTTACTTGGCAGTCAATGGGACAGTCACAAGCCTCCAGGTTTTCATCCAAAATATCTTAAATTGTGTTTCGAAGACGAACTAAGCTTTTACGGGTTTGGAACGACATGGGGGTAAGTGAATAATGACAAAATATTAATTTTGGGGTGGAGTAACCCTTTAAGCATCTACAAATTAGATGCAGCCACAAACTATTTAAAATAGCAATTTCATTCAAAATCTTCTTATCAACCCCTCTTCTCTAGACAAGATAAACAGACAGACCATCTGGCATCACCTGGCAGCTGCATTTCTAACATGTTTGACAAGACACAGCAATGCTGAAATCACAAGCTTCCATCTCTTTCCCTTCTTTTCATCTTACTTTGGCTGAAGGTATTAATTAAGATAGGTCTTCTTGAATTTTCTCGGTTTTAGAAATGGCCACAACTTTATTTTTTCACAGACAGACAGACAGACAGACAGACAGACAGACAGACAGACAGACAGACAGACAGATAGATAGATAGATAGATAGATAGATAGATAGATAGATAGATAGATAGATAGATAGATAGATAGATAAAAAACTCATTCTCACGATCATAAATTAATTCAATAAGAATTTATTTCTTTATTAATATGTTTAATTGATTTAATTTCTATAATTAGCCCACCCGAAAAATATAACTTCCGATTTATTCAAAAAGAAATGAAAGTCTTTAACAGTATTGAATAACTAAAGAATGATGAAATGATAACAGCAGTCATTATATTATTACAATAATAATCATAATTCAATAACCAGAATATCAACATTCATAACAAATCTAAAAACATCGGCAATACACTCTGACATACCACTCTTGCTGTTAATATAATATCTACAAAAAGAAATAAAATTCCCAAGTGTCTGCCCTTTTCAAAAATGGAAATTTAGGGGCGGGGCTTATGGCTTGTCAAGAAAGATGACTGTGATTGGCTTATGGCTGACAGAGACCAACTGAAGTTTATTAGAAAGAGGCACATCATGGGAACTCCATTCATTTACAGGGGGCAAAGAAGCGATTACTTGCATGGAAGAGTTGCTAGGCAAGTAATGAGGGAATAAAGCATCAGGCCATACAAAAGATCAGCAGAGTAAAATGGGGATTTTCTACAGCGATCCAAAAAAACCTCATCTGACACACGGCACCGCATTGAAATCAAAAGCAAGTGAAGATGCAAAAGCTGCAAAGATTAGCAGGTGACTCATGTCTGGAAAAGCTGATATATGCAAACATATGGTAGGTATTAAGCCTATATATTTATGTACAAGCATTGCTTTGTCACCCAGAATCTGTTACAAAACACCTCAATCAGTGAGAAAATGAGTGCAAGCTTCAGACTGGCAAAATGCGTGTCGGACTCACGGCGATGCATTGTAGGTTTCAGACTGCGTACAATCAGCCTGAGCGAAAAGTGCTTCGAATAACTCCGCCGACGAGTCGCCCACGCGAGTTTTCATTCCCACAAAGTTATGTTATGCTTTTTCTTTTTCCACATATCGAGAAAAAGAGAAATCGGTGTAAAAGGACACATTCTGTACACTGCATATACAAACATATTTATGCTAAATAAGAGGATTCCACATCCAAACGGTGTCGTCCATAAAATCAAGAACTCCACAGCAAAACCAAAGAGAATTAAAAAGTAAAAGAATCCATCTTTCTTTCACATACAAAGGAGTCGGTGAGGATCCGGGACGTAGCAAAGTGTGGGAAGGGGGAGCAGGTAAAATAACAGGTTGTCGATTTTGCTTCGCAAAGAGATTGTCACATAAATTCACAGATCAAAAAAAAAAAAAAGGATTATTTTCAGACTTTTCAAGTTCTTATCTCACATTACCAGCATGTAAATACGTGATCATCTGGGTGAGGTCCAGTCAAAAAGTAGAAAACCACCAGGAAACAAAAGTTCAGATATTTCCAGCCTCTTATCAAATCCGCTGAAGGACAAATCAGCATCTCTTGAGAGAGAGAAAAAAAGGCTGTGCGTATTCAGTTTCCCCAAAATAAAAGACATGATTGAGACGCAGGCATGACAGGTAGAGCAAATGTGGCATATGAAGATCATAATGAGAAGAAGTCGAGGATTGTTCAATATCCTACATGTAGTTAGTAAAGAACCTAAAAAACAGCACCTTTGAGATTGATCTGATCGTCAGAACCTCTCCAGCTCTCTCAACGAACCACTGCGCTGCGTGCGACGTCATCTCTCGTGCCATCAAGAGGCCCGCAGAAACCATCTGACAGCATCCCAAATGGCCATCATATCGAATTATATCAAAGAGAGGGTACGTCAGAGGAAGGGAACCTATATTTTTTCTTTGGATCGGCTCTGGCACTGGGTCAAAGCCTCAGTTTCTCCTCTGTCAACCAACCGAATCGCGTGACAGCGCCCTGGAATTAAAACCTGGCCAACCTGAAGAATGTCCAAGGTGAGGCCTCCAATTAGGTTCCAGATTGTCCTTCACGAAGCTTTGTGATTGGCTGGAGATGCAGGGAAAAGAGGAGGTGCTTGATGAGCCGCTGACCAATCACTGCTACTAATCTCAGAGAAGAAATGGACTAACTGCCAAAACAGGCAGTTCAACTTAAAATGATTTTTTTTTCTATCCAGTTTGCGTTAAACTGTGAGGCAATTGAAAGTTTACCTGAGTCATTCAATTCTACGTCTGAGGTATATTCATGTCATGGCACATTTTTCAGCTGATAACCCTGTTATCCCACTTTTTCTCAACCGCTTTTGGGACATAAACAAAATTGCCTGTTTATTATTACTAAATGGTGTAGAAGTCACTTAAAGATAGCCCTCGAAACTCTTAAAAGCTAAAATGGCAATCAGTCCATTCTCCTCTATAGTGCCTTCCCAATCTATAAATATTACAGTACAGCTCAGTGTTTTTATTGTGCAGTTACGACTTAAATCTCCTCACTCTCATCTAGGCCAGCTGTATTGGTTTAGCTGTGTTACATACAGAACGTGAGTATTTTACAATGCGACAACAAGGCAATCAACAATGAATTGGGTTACAAATGAAGACTGGTATCAGTGAAGCCACGTGAATGTCTTGAGTCTGTAGAAACATGACAATGAACCGATTAATCGTAAAACAAACAATAAAACAAAAACGGTAGTGAACGATGAGGAATACAATCAGTATCAGATGGCAGTGGTACTCAAATGAGGAATTATAGCTAGCAATATTTCTGTACAGTACATAAGATCTGATTATTTTACAAACCAAGTCTATCTAACAAGATCTTCCCTAAAATTACCATTCAACACCACCGAAAACTACTTTAGAGATGCTTGAGCAACTTTAAAGTCAACATGAAAACAAAACGGACCCTGTTTACTTTTAACTTAAAATTCGCAATTTTGTAGCAGAGCTTAAACAGTAGGTCGTGGGTTTGAGTCCCAGAGAACGTGTGAACTGATAAAATGTAAACCATAAATGTAAGTTGATTTGCATAAAAGCATCTGCCAATTCCATGAATGCAAATGTAATAATTATTTGTTGCGAGTCATTGTCTAATTTTTACATTCGTAGTTGTCTTATTGATGATTATTTGGTTCATGCTATTCTATTAAAAAAACAGGGTTGTTTTCATTATCTTTTAAAAAAATACTTTTCAGAAAACATCACAAATCCCTTTTGTTTCTTAGCTACCAGACTGCATTCTAGTATATAACACCCATTTTTACAATCCAATGAATTCCTAAAACTTAAAAAATAAAGTCTATTCTTCCCATTGTACTCAAAAACGTCACGTTTTGGAGGGAAAATTGGTTGCTTTAAAGTTGACTTTCATGTTGACTTTAAGACCAAAAACACAAACAAGTTATGCTTATTTAAAATATCAGCTCACTTCACATCACGTCCATTTTAAGAAAAACATTTCTGTATAAAAAATACTTTACGACCACAACTGCATTCTGGCCTAACATCTTAATTTAGTAAAAAGACAAAAGGTTTTTGACCTGACAGAGATCACCTCGCGCTCACCTCATGTTGCAGACACACACTGAAAGAAATCGGCCTGTAAGGAGATAAATGGGAGGACAAAGACACATATGAACAGTTAGGACGATGACAGAATGGGAGGCGGTGATGTGACACAGAGCACTGCTTTGAGAATCCATAGCACCAGTTAAATACACATAGGTTCTGAGATTGAGAAGAGAAAACATTGCACAAGTTGGCAATTCAAAGACCACAAGCACTTTCCAAACATTGTCCACAAAAAACCCGAGCCACGGTTGAATTCCAAAGCTTGACATTTTCAGCATTACATTGAGGCAAAAGAACACATCAGTCTCTCCTAAGTGAGCAATCTCGAGAAGAGAGTGGCGTTTGCACGACCATTTCTGTAATTCTGCTGTCGTTATTCTTGCGTTCGTTTGAAAACCCTGTCAGGAGATACAGAAAGGCACTAGGGAAGCCAGACGACATGACAGAATCCCCAAGACAAAGCTGGCATGTGTTCGTCAGTCAATCCTCTATACACTTCGAAACGTACGTGTGGTTTGTTTGCCCACCGTTCCTGGGGTTGTTCCCAGCTTCTTCTTCTTTTTACACAATACGAGGGAGCTCAGTCAAAAAACCTGGAACCTGAACCGAGCACTTTCCAGTGGTTTGGATGACTTGATGTGGTGGCAGAGGTACTGTATATGCAAGGGGCTTTTAACTTTGATCCAAAGAAAATGTGATTTTGGAATAACATATTGGATCCAATGGAGAGCCCTTTTGTTTTGGATGGAGCAAGTAATGGTGTGTCCTGCCTCCCACTTGTCCTCAGTCTAATGCACAAAATAAAACAACCGCTGAAGCTTCATCCTTCAATGCGGATGACAAAGAACATGAGCTTTTCTTCGGAATTCCTAAAAATGTTCTCGGATTTGGTCAGCGTTTTTATTGACCTGCTCCCCCTCCGAACTTGCCCCCGATGCCGTTGCTGATTTTTGGTTGCCAGAAAGTTCTCCGTTCGGCCAGAGTTGTGCGAGAGGACAGGATTGAGGAGGGGAAGCTAACTGGAAGGACAAGATTCCGTTCAGGGGGAATCGGGTTGAGGATTTGTCCGATTGGGAGACTCCAACAACTCCAGGAGCGCTGGTCAATTCTCCGCCAAAACTCACACCGGGGTCTGCTGAACCCAAGGCGGAAAGCTGCTTTTCCTAGCGAGACAGAGAGAGAGAGGAAAGGGGAGGAGAAGAGAGAGAGCAGGCGGAGGGATGGAATGATGGAGGGATGAAGATTCCGCAAAAAAATCAGCGAATGGAATGCGAAAGAGAGAAGTTCCCATGGCAAGAAGATCGATAGGGAAGTACAGAATAGGAAGATCAAAGCAAATGGAGGTCACGGGGTCAGAGTGAGAGGGAGAAAGAGAGATTTGAGTTGACGAGGGATTGGAAGAGCAGTAAAGGAGGAATAAAACAGAGGCATGAGTCGCATAGCAGAGGAATGAGAAATATCCATAGGATCGCTCAGGGAAAGAGGGATAGACACAAAGAAAAGGAAGAAAGAGGGATGAGGAGGGAGTTACAAATCTGCTGTTGACACACGTGTGTTTTTGTGAGGTTGCACTGCAGAAGGCCAGAGTGGTTGTCAAAACCAGAGTGACACAGAACGATACAAGCCCTGGTTATTGGATTATCTTTTGTAAACATCCTCAAAATGTGATTTTAAATGAGAAGAGCACTATTCATTGAGGTTAATTTTGCATTAAAGGGGTCATAGGATGCCCATTTTCCACAAGTTGATATGATTCTTTAGGGTCTTAATGAAAAGTCTGTAACATAGTTTGGTTAAAATTTCTCAATGGTAGTGTAAAAAACACCTTTTTTACCCTGTCAAAAACAGCTCTTTTCAGAGCACGCAGTTATGTAGCATTTTCCTTTAAATGTTAATGAGTTCTGCTGACACCGCCCCTCTCTTCCGAGACGCTCTCTGAGGGACTGTTTACTTTAGCCGCATTCATCGTGAAACTTGTTAATTAGCACATTATTATGAAAGGCGATTTGTAAAGATTAATTAAAAAAACCTTACACACTTCTGTAGGTGAAGCTGGATCACGAATGATTCGGGCGAACATAGACACATTTATGTAGATCGGGGGCGCATTCCCTTCAAAAACAAAGTAATCCACTGTGTCTTCAGCGGCTCAGATGTCGGGAGTAAATGACGACTGCTATGTTCATTATTACATCCAACAACAGAACACCTCAATCGCTTAGAAGTCATTCTTGTCTACATCTGCTCCGGTGTTGAAACAATGGCAGACTGATGACAGCTCACTCAGGATGGGTCTAAGGTAAGACACCAGTCCAGTCTGTGCTTAAACACTACTGTCAATCAAACTATCGTGGGAAGGGCCTGTTTTTGTCACACAGACAGGCATCTGAGATCGGCTCGATTTGAGAAAGGGGTAAAGATATTATGAGCAGATTAAAAAAAAAAACACTGGGTGGATTTTTATCATTTTAGGGTGGTTGTGTACACACATTGCCAACACACATTTCAGTTCAAACAACTTGTAAAAGTTCATGTAGCATCCTATGACCCCTTTAAAGGGGTCGTATCATACATTATTTTTGTTTTGTACCTTTTTTGACCAAAAGTATTTTTCCTTTTTTATTGATTCATATGATATTTTCCATCCTCTTCCTTATGGAAGCATAAAGGTGGTTTTCTTCAGTTGTTAAATATATAGTGGCAATGTATTAGCGTATTTGAATTTACATATCCAATACCCATAATACCAATACCCCAAAAAAAATAAAAAAATCAAATTCAGAAATGAAATTTGCCATTTCCTACATTATAACCTTTTTTTGTTAAAAAGAACAAACATTATTACTTTTATTCACCAAGGATGCATAAAATCAATCAAAGGTGTCAGTAAAGACTTTTTCTTTGTTATTCAGCAAGAATCCTGATAAAAATGCATCACAGTTTTTACTGAAATATTAAGCAGCACAACTCTTTTCAATATTGATAATAACAAGAAATGTTTCTTAAGCACCAAAATCAGCATATTAGAATGATTTCTGAAGGATCATGTGACTGAAGACTGAAGTAATGATGCTGAAAATTCAGCTTTGCATCACAGAAATAAATTACACTTAAAATATATTCAATTAATTATATTTTTGGCTATTTTAAATTGTAATAATATTTTACAATATTACTGTCATTACTGTATTTTTGATCAAGTAAATGCAGCCTTGGTGAGCATAAGAGACCCTAAACTTCTGAACGGTAATTAGCAAAAATAAAATGGAGGGATATTTTTAACATATTAATGCAACTTGAAAATGCATTCCGACACAATTGCATTAACATGTTCACATTCCCACCTGTCAATCATTACATCAGGGCATAACTCAAAGTTATTTTTTCTCAAAAAAATCTGATTGCTCATGATATGACCCCTTTAAAAGGACAGCTGCCACAACAGTGTCTGAGTGCAGCAAAAGAGACTTCTACTAAGCATGCAAGCATGCCACTGATGCAACAGTGTGATCAACTGTAAAGAACACAGGAAGTGAGAATGAATATTTATGTGAAATGTAGGTGCTTTTAGTTCTGCTATCACAAGTATATCTTAACTGTTGTGACAGTTTGTATTTACAACACATGTGCTTGACAGCACTATGCAAGTCCAAAGGACTCTAGGGAACAAATCATGCATTGTTTATTCCTGTAAAAATAAGAACTGTAAGCTCTTAGCCGAGTTAGTTTTCATTTAAAACAGCTTGAAAATAAACTTGATTCTGTCATCAGTACAAATGAAAGACAACAGAGTTGTACAACAAATCAAGTTGCAACCTATCTACTATCTTACAAATATTTATATCAAATTTGTATTATATTGCCTGATTATATATACAATTTTGATATTTTATATCAAAATTCACTTGTTTAAACCAAAACAGTGTCAAATCCACTATTTAGAATTTCAGGGAGTGTTCACACTCAATTCGGCTTAACAGTAGTAACTGTATAATTCAGTTTCTAAATGTGGTATAGCATCACTACCGTGTTTACCACCAGTACTAATGGCAAGTAACTAGATAAGCATTCACAAGTAGAAATCGGGTGTGTTCACATAATTTTTTTTTATAAATCTTTCAAGACGTACCATTTGCGGTTGCTATTTAAGCAATATCACACAAGCAAGAATGATGTTTTTCAATACACAATTATAAGTAAGAGACAATATTAACAGATCTTTGTCTGTTTTTGCTTCATAAACAAATCACATAACGCACAGCAACATATTTTGTTCCTTAATGATTCAGTGTTTTGGAATGAATCGTTTAAGTGAATGATTCAATGAATCACTCGTACATCCAGCACTGAGTACCTGAGTGAACTGTGTGTTTTTGAATGAACTTTTTGTGTGAACGATTCAATGACTTACTCAAATGTTCTGTACTTGTTTTGAATCAGCGTTTTTAACAACTCGGTTGAAAATGATTCAGTGAATCACTCAGAGTCACTTGTCGTCACATACTATGTAAGCTGCAGAGAGAGTCACGCTGAAAGCATTGCAAATGATATATCATATTACTATACTCTCAATTAATATATCTCTATACATCTGAAAATTTTATAATGAAGTTATTGATTTATACACTTAAATATGTATAATTTTGGCTAATACATAATTAGCAAACTCCAGTGTGAAAACACCCTCAAGCCCATCTCTGCCCCACACACACACACACACACACACACAAATTTTATAATGAAGTTATTGATTTATACACTTAAATATGTATAATTTTGGCTAATACATAATTAGCAAACTCCAGTGTGAAAACACCCTCAAGCCCATCTCTGCCCCACACACACACACACACACACACACACACACACACACACACACACACACACACACACACACACACAAAGAATCATTTGCCTTTCAGACTTTTTGTCATGTGGGGCTTAGCTCTCATTCACAAATAGTGGAGACACTGTTTTTATTTAGCTCTTATCCGCTAATCTTACCTACAGAGGCGCAGTGCAGTGCCAAAAGCTGCCTCAGCTCATTTGATATCTAAATCATGTTCAGTGTGTTTTTCATTATGATCAGTCCTTTTCAGTGAAGTCTGCATTGGGGTGGAAACATTGGAGTTAAATCAACCTAAAGTTAAACCTGAGGCTCATGCATCAAAAATTCAACAAAACAACATGACGACAACATTTGCACTTAAAATGTTTTGCTAATATGTTTACCATTCTAAATATACTCACCTGTTATTGATGTTTTACAAGAATTAAAAGTGAAGGGCTCAACTTTAATGGGTTCTATGCGTTTAACACCAAGAAATTTGCTTTGGTTCCAGACTGTTACATTAGCAAAGGGGCTAGCTTTGCTAACATAAGCCAGTCTGACTCAGTTTTGGTGCAATTTGTTTCTCTTCTCAGTCAGAACCTAGTATTTGAGAATGAATATGGATTTACAGTTGGGGAACGAAGGTTTGGATCTAGCTGCAACACTAAACAGAAAGACAAAAGATGACAACAACAGGAGCAAAGGGTGCATCTCTGTCAGAACTGCAACTCATACATCGGTCATTTTCGTCTGGAACCATTGCTTTTCTTTGGGTGGTCAAATCGAAGTCCCGGTTGAATTGGTCTGTCAGGTAATTTAGGTTCAAAAGTGTTTCTGTGTTTCTACAGCTCTTTAGGACCCAGAAACCTATAAAACATCACCTGCAGCGAACATAATCACAAACACATTGAGCAGCACCACATACATTCACCTTTCATTTTCAATTGGCCTTTTACGTCACATGAACGTTGCATGTCTTCATTTACCCAAAAGAAACAGTGCATAAAATGAGTTAACGCAACCATGAACATTACATTTCTATGCAACAAACTAGCGATACAGCTACACGCCACTCAATGCACAAATATCTACACAAGTACTTCCAAATCACCAGAAGCACTCTAAACACCGCAACAAAAGCATGAACACATACTACGTACACTCACACTCATCCAGGATCTCATGCACGCTGAGAACCCACCCCTGACCCCCGTCAGGGCGGCACGGAGAAAGATACGGAGATTTCCCAGAATTCATCATCATCTGTTTCAGAGTGCAATGGTGATGATGTCGATAGAATGGACATGGTGATGAGAAGTCCTGCGCCTTGCA